CCCCCCTCCCCCCTTGATTTCTGTGTAGAACTCTGATTTAAGCTGTGGCGTCATTTCTGTTTTGTTTGTTTTTTAACTTAAGTCTCCATTTGCACCCTTGTGATGATTATATTAAATAAAGAACATTTGGGGTTGGAAAAAAAATTTCTCATAGGCTGTTAGATTTGACTTGTTATATCGTGATCATGAATACAGTGAATTATATCATGCATCATAACTACAGTGAAATCCTGGTGGCATAGTGGGTTAGGCATTGGGCTGCTAACTGCAAGATAAGTAGTTCTAAACCACCAGCTGCCCTGAGATAGATGTTTTCTACTCCTATAATTAGTCTGATACCCGAAGGGCAATTCTACTCTGACCTATATAAGGTCCCTATCAGTAGGAAATGACTTGATGGCAATGAGTTTATTTTTTTTGTAGTTGATTTGACTGCTCTTTGCCCAGATTTTGCAAAAGGGTAACTCGATCCTCACGTGACTCTTTATTTCCTGAAGATTAAGTTTATCTTTAAGACAATCTGCTGTTAAAGGAATTCTATGGTGTTGCTCTTTGACAAATCAGTTTCTTCTTGGTTCTTTTATTCAGGACACTTCCCCCCCAGGACTTATACTATAAAAAGTTGAATGTATATACTATAAAAAGTTGAATGTATATACTATACAAAGTTGAGTATACTGTATACTACAAAGTTATACTATAAAAATTTGAATGTATATATTTAGATATACTAAAAATAGTTGAATATATAAATTTAAGAAAAGAATGCTTCCTGATATACTGGGAAAAGCTGATTTCATACAGCTATACTATAAAAAGTTATACTATATTATATACATACAGCTTTTCCCAGTATATCAGTATTCTTATATATGGATTTTAAATGACGCTTCCAAGATTTACTGACAGCAAACATCTGAGTACACGAGCAAACACAAACATTTAGGATACTCTGGTAGAAAGAGACATATAATGGTGCTTTTTTTGACAAGGTTAGGGACAGGGCAATTGAGTTGTTTCAGCAGCTCAATGTCAAGGACACAGGTAGTTGCAATCTACTCTCTCATAGTGGCATTCACAATTTAGCCCTCCACTGCGGAATTACAATGATAAGTATCACATATATGCATAATATGAACACTTCCTACTTTGATAGAAAACAGGATTAATTGTAGACTTCTGCAAAGCAAGCTAGGAGGGCAAGATTCTAGGACTGATAGCCTCAGATGAGTGGAAGGCTCTCACAGCAAAGAAAAATTATAATGGCCAAGGGATAGACAATTGTGATAGCTTAAAGGTTTTGCTGTCAACTTGGCTGAACCAGGCTTCTCAGTAATGCCCCATAATGAGAGCTAATATAATCATCTCCATAATGAGACCAGTTATGAGCAGACAATCGGTTGAAAGGACATTTCCTCTGTGTTGTGGTCCATTTCCAATATAAGTGGATGCTGTGGAAAAGTTTTTGTTTTGCTGGGTCTGGATCCTGCATCTAGCTGGCCAACCTCTGGTTCTTTGGACCTAAGCCAATGGCTTGCTACACTAAGTGCTGATCCTGGGCATTCTTGGCAGCCTGCCATCTGCTCTCCCAACTTTAGATTCAATGGCTTCTGTAGTCACAAACTTGACTTCATTTGTCTGTGCGGACACCAGCCTGAAGTCATCTTGATTCAGGGTTCATCAGCCCCTGCAGCTTTGTGAACTAGAAGTCTCCAGCCTAACATCTGGCCCACAGACTTGGACTATGCCTGCTTCTACAACCGTGATAGGCATTTCTTAATATGAATTTCTCTTTATATATAGTGAAACCTCACTAGTTTTGCTTCTCTAGAGAACCCAGCCTAAGGCAACAACCGTGTCTGCTACAATACTGTCTTACAAAATATATCCATTTTCCCCCGATACATATTCTTTCATGATGGTTTTCTTGCCAACTTAGTAAGGTTTAGGGTGCACCCTCATTAAAAAACAAAACAAAAAAACTTTCAAATATATGTGTGCATATATATATATTTATATTCCATTAACTTTTTAAGACTCTTTTGTTAAACTTTTTCTACATATTGAATTGAAGGGGAATCCACTATTTCATTCCTTTGATAACAAATGTAAGGACCAATTAGAAAGAGGCACCACACGAATGCAGTGAAGTCAGAATTAAGTCCTGGCTCTGATTACCCTACTTACACCATACGTTAAAAATAACTCATTTTAGCCCACATGGAAGAAGCACACCAGCCTGTAAGATGACAAGGCGGTGAAGGGATGAGGTATCAATGACCCCCCCCCCCAAAAGAATCCCAACATTGTGAATGAGGGGGAGTGGAGAGTGGGGACCCAGGACCCATGGGGGGGGGGGGATTGGACATCCCCTTGCAGAAGGGCTGCGGGGAGATGAGCCAATGAGTGCAGTGTAGCAACGATGAAACATAATTTTCCTCTAGTTCTTAAATGCTTCCTCCCCACCTATCATGATCCCAATTCTACCTTACAAATCCGGCTGGACTGGAGGATGTACACTGGCACAGATAGGAACTGGAAACACAGTGAACCCAGGACAGATTAACCTCCCCAGGACCAGTGGAGAGAGTGGTGATATCGGGAGGGTGGAGAGGAGAGGGAGATGTCGGATGGGGTAAGATATGATAAAATAATAATTTATAAATTATCAAGGGTTCAGGGGGAGGGAGGAGAAAAATGAGCTGACACCAGGGGCTCGAGTGGAGGGTGGGTGTTGTGAGAATGATGAAGTAAACATATGTGTTAATCTGCTGGACACAACTGATGTATGTACGGATTGTGATGAGTTGTATGAGCCCCTAATAAAATGATTATTAAAAAAATAGCTCATTTTCCTGAAGATAGCTTTGTTTGCATCACATTTCAATATGTAGTGCTCTCTTTGTCATCCATCCAAGTGACAATTTGCTTTGATTTCTTTTTCAATTTTTAATTCTTAATTGGGTGGAAAGTTTACAAAGCAAATCAACAGTTTTACATTAAACAACTCATGTAGATTTTGCTTCATCTCATTCATTGCTTAATTCTTTTTAACATAAATTTACAGGTACCTTTAAAATTTCCTACTGGGCAAACAGGTTTTGGCTAAGGTACTGTTGTTTTCTAATTATCTAAAACGGAGGCCAAAGATTGTAGCACAACCCTTTTGCTATTTGAAAGGTTTTAGTAAAGAATGGTTGACTTCACAGCAACCCACTGTTACTCCACAGGGTTTCTTTACTTTATCAATCCCCATATGAAGCAGAAGAGTAAACTACGAATGAGTGTCTTAGTTTTTGTTTTTCTCTATAAAGACTTATCTAACATTTCAATAAAGAAAACAAGATTGTGGAAGATGGTTTTAGATTCACTGCACACATAGAAACCATAATAAAATCGTAACAAAAGCAGCTCTCACTCAGCACACTTTCAATAGGAGCTGGACAGTGTTCCAAGGGATATAAATTTTTATTTTTAAATCCTTACAATGCTACTAAGATATATGGTGATTAATCTAATTTATAAATGAGAAAATTCAGTTAAATAATCTGTCCTATATAAAATAAGTTATAATGCTTAGGGTAAGTAATGACAAAACATTTGTTAAACTTTTTCTCACTTTGATTAAATTCAGAATTCTAGAGAATGAACCTGCTAATATTTAACAACATTTAAGTGGATGGAAAGATTTTTGAACCATTTTTAACATTAACAGGCTTCCTCAAGTACGAATTATCAGATAAATATATCATTAGCTACAACAATTTGGATCTCACACATGGCATTTATAGTATGAATCCTTGAATCTCTCATAACAATGGGAGGTCCCAAAAGTTGAGGAAGGTTTGAATAGTTGAAATCTCTAGCATATTCAAATCCTTGCTAAACTTCTCCGTTTTGAATTCCCAGAGGTTGACTCTTCTGAACCACAGAAAAAGCCTTTTCCACGTTCCTTATATTCATGGAGCTTTTACATTTTTTATTAGCTGAACTCTGATATCCATTAAATTCTGAGTCATAAATAAACCCTTCCCTATTCCAAACATGAGTTAGGCATTGGATTGCTAAATACAAGGTCAGTGGTTCAACCCCCCACAAGCTACTCTTAGGGAGAAAGACAAGGTTCTCTGCTTCCATAAAGATTTACAGTCTCATAAACTATATACACAGGGTCACTATAAGTTGAAGTGATGAGTTTTTTTTTATTCCAGTATTTATAAAAGCTTCTCATTAGTAACAAGTGTTAAATAAATCCAGGCCCTTAAATAAATACTATTCAGGCCTTGCTTTTATAGTACAAACTCTGATATTAAGTTTTCACAAATATAAATGCTGATATTTAATAAATGGTTGGCCTCAGATGTTTTCTCACATTCTAGTCTGAATTTTTTGTTAGCAAGCTCTGAGCCTTTCCACATTTCCTCACTCATCCCTCTGTCCTATATGAATTCTCTGATGTTGAGTGAGGTGTGAGCCACGAAAAAAAGCCTTCCCACAATCCTTACATTCATAAGGTTTCTCACCAGTATGTATCTTCTGGTGGCGACTAAGTTCTGAGCCACGGCCAAAGGCCTTCCCACACTGCTTACAATCATAGGGTTTTTCACCACTGTGACTTCTTTCATGATGAATAAGTTCTGACCTTCTAATGAAAGCCTTCCCACATTCCTTACATTTATGGGGTCTCTCACTAGAGTGAACTTTTTGATGTCGAATAAGTTCTGTGCTACATGTAAAGGCCATCCTGCATTCCTTGCATTTATAAGGCTTCTCACCAGTGTGAGCTCTCTGATGTCGAGTAAGTTCTGCACCACGACGAAAGGATTTTCCACATTGTTTACATTTATAAGGTTTCTCACCAGTATGAACACTCTGATGGCGAATAAGGTGAGCCTCGGAGATAAAAGCATTGTCACATTCTTTACATTTATAGGGTTTTTCACCAGTATGAATTCTTTGATGTAGAGTAAGTTGTGAAGCACAGCTATATGCCTTCCCACATTCCTTACATTCATATTCTCTCTCATTAGTGTGAGTTATCTGATGAAGACTAAGTTGTGTGTCATAACGAAAAGCTTCCCCACATTCCTTACATTTATGGGGTTTTTCACCTGTATGAATTCTCTGATGGCGAGTAAGGTGTGAGGGACGGCTAAAGGTTTTCCCACATTCTCTACATTCATAGTATTTCTCATCGGTGTGAACTCTTTGATGTTTATTCAGCTGTGAGGCAGTTGGAAAGGCCTTTCCACACTCCTTACATTTATAGGGTTTCTCACCACTGTGGATTTTTTGGTGCTGATTAAGTTGCGAACTAGAACTAAAGGATTTCCCACATTCTTTACATTTATGCAGTTTCTCACCAGTATTAGTTTTCTGAGGATGAGTAATTTGAGAGTCACAAGTAAAGGTATGCTTCTTATTTTTGTTACTTATTTTGTTGTCATTAATTCTCTGATGCTGAATCAAGTCTGATCGACTATTAAACATTTTTCCACACACCTCACATTCACTGTCTTTTTTCTTACCATTTTTTCCATTTTGAGCAGAGCACGATTGGGACCTGAAAGCTTTACTTTCCTTGTATTCACAGGCTTTCTCTCCAGTACGAACTCTCTGATGTATGCTACCGGGTGTTATCCCTGTGTGTCTGAACTGTCCCTCCTGGTGTCTCTCTAACTGAACTTTGCTTTCCCTATCATCTCTGGACCCGACACACTCAAGGTCAGAGCTTGAAAGCCTTTCTGTTACTTCTTGCTTCAATGATTCAATTTCACAACTTTCCTCTTTTACAGACAAATTCTTGATTTCCATTCTGGATTCCCAATCTGTAAGACAACAAGAAAAATCAACAAAAACCATTAAGTCTTTTCATGTTGCAGGCAAAATTAGTTTCAAGGTATAAATGACAAACTAAAAGTAGTGAATAATTTACAGTCTATTTGATGAGGAAAGACGAGTCTGTTGAATTAATGGTTGTGGGAAAATTGTATTTCCATGTGAAGAAACATGAAGTAGCATCTATGTCTCATACTACATGAAAACAAATTCAAAATGGATTAAGGACCTACAATATAACAATGAAAACCATTTTATCTTTAAAAAAAAAAAAGAAATGCAAAGGCAACACTGTCAGGCCAATTTTTTAACACTAGAGTATCAACTGAGAAGAGTACAAACAGTACAATACAAAATAAATGGAAACCCTTAAAAATCAAACCTTTTGTTCATCAAAAAATTTTACAAAAAAGATAAAATACTGACTGGAAGAATATTTTGAGAAACCATATATCAAACAAGAATGTAATAACCAAAAAATATATAAAATCAGAACGAACGACAAAACAATTTAATCATAAAATGGACAAAGGACTTGAACAGCCACTACCAAAGAGGGCACTCAAATGGGTGCGTTCAAAGATGCTCAATGCTATCAGTCAGAGAGATGTATGTCAAAGCCACAATGAGATACCATTTCACTCCCACAGGATGGCTAAAATTAAAAACACAAAATACAAGAAATTGATAATGTTGGTAAAGATGTGGGGAAATTGGAACTTTTACCCACTGCTGGTGGGAATGCAAAATAGAATAGCCATTGTGGGAAACAGTATAGAATTCCCTAAAAGAGAAAACTAGAACTGCCCTATGACCCAATAATTCATTCCCAGGTATATACCCACAAGATTTGAAGTAAGAAATTCAAAGACTTGTATACCAACGTTCACTGCAGCATTATTCACAATACTACAAGGTGAAAACCACCAGAGATAGTTAAGGTTTATTGTGCCAACCTGGCCAATAAACATGTGTGGGATTAATTGGAGAGATAAATGGCTCGGTGAGCCTTGCCTTTCTAGCTCTCAGGTCTCTTGCTCTTTGATGATCGGCAAGTATGCGGCTGCCTTAGCTTGTTCTCTGCTTCAATTTGCAAGCTACATTACCTGTGGGACACCTAACCCGTGGACTGTGTCATTGTAGTTTCAGGTTCCTTCAAGACCTGTTTCACCATGCTACTGGAGTATATATCACTTGAGTTGGGGACTGTCGGACCCTGTCATCTGGCTGACTGTTGGTGACCTGCCTTGCTGTTTGCTGTCTGTGGCCAGATAGCCTGAATTGCTCTACAGAGGACTACCTGGTGGCCTTCAAGACTTGAAGGACTGCCAGTGTATTAGCTATCTCATGGAAGTGAGTTGCACTGAGCTATTTGTACCGCTTTACAGATTAATTAACTATTTATTATTATATATAAAATCATTAGTGGCCTGGTTTTGTTTCTCTAGAGAACCGTTTAACATAACTAATGCTTATCAGAAGAAGAATGGCTAGACAATGTGGTACATACATATAATGAAATACAAAGCCAGTAAAATAAATAAAGGGCACTTTATAAGCAAGCTATCTAATTCTATGGTGGACCTCAGCACTTCATATTTACTTAGCATTTTTATTAAAGATTCTATAGAAGCATCTGATCAAAAGAGGAAAAATACAAAATGTAATTTCAAATTCTCATGGACTTCAGATTTCCTAGAACCTATGAAGGTTGGATGAACCCTGAAATTATTGTCCTGAGATAGCCTTTAAACCTTAAACCAAAACATTTCCTGATGTCTTATTAAAACCAAACAATTTAGCTGAGCTGGTAAAAAATATCTGTGAAACATTAGTCTTTTAAGATTTATATGGGAAACAGAAGGATTTCTCTCAAGTTGTCTCCCCCAAATATATGTCAGACATAGCTGCTTGAGAATGACTATATACTTGGAGGTCATCAGGAGTAGATTAGGGGTCATTACCCCTAAGAGCTATCAGCCATCTAGACCAAGCAGACACCACTGTTTATCCCACAAGTAGGGCCCACTCCCTTCTGATAAGGATAGTAGTTGTCTGTTTCCTTGTAGGAGACTCTAGAGAGGTCAAACCTGCCCAAGGATGACCAAGGTTAGGCTGCCATCATGAATCTAGGGTCTGCCCAACTTGTCACATGTATACCCCTAGACCTCCCCATTCCTATGGGCACACCCCTAGCTCATCCCCTTCCTGTCACCCTTATGCCTATCATAGATCCCCTTCCTACAATGTATATACCTATCGTACTGCCCCTTACTGTGACGTGCGGTTACCTGTAATCATGTCCCCCTAAAGAGATATAATGCTTGGTTAGCAATAAAGAAAAAGTTCTCCCCGGTTCCCGGACCCCGAGACTCTCTCCTGCTATCATGGCCAGGCTTCCCCCCACGAGGACCACCAAGCGGGGCTGAGGTGAGCATGCTACCATGAATTGTGCCTGACTCCATTTATTCCAATATCTCCCCTACCTTTCATGCTCTCTGTGACTTTACTATAATCTTTACTTATTATCGCTGTACAATTGCGCCTACTGGACCTGGGATGATTTGTGGGGAACCCTCTCCTTCTCCCTACAGATTTATACGGGATCAATTTGATAACAGCAACTTGAAAGGTTAGATAGAAACCTCAGAGAATGATGAATTTATGTTAATAAGGGAGAAAATACTCAGAAAAGGAGAATAAGAATGGTTACACAACTCAAAGAATGTAATCAAAAGGAGCTGATACCAAGGGCTCAAGTAGAAAGAAAATGCTTTGAATATGATGATGGCAACATACCCGGTTTCCCCAAAAGTAAGATATCCCCTGAAAATAAGACCTACTTACAGTTTTGCCTCTCGTTGAAATACAAGGCACCCCCCCCCCACCCCCCAAGCTACCGTTAGTCTGGACTCTGGACCGCACAGCTCACTGTTGGCCGCAGCGCAGCCGGAGCAGACAGGAAGTGCGTGGTCTCTTTTAATAAAACAATAATCAATAAATGTATACCGTATTCTTCTTCATGAAAAAATAAGACATCCCCTGAAAATAAGACCTAGCGCATCTTTGGGAGCAAAAGCTAATATGACACTGTCTTATTTTCAGGGAGACAGGGTATGTACAAATGTGCTTGATACAACTGATGTATGGATTGTTATAAATGCTGTAAGAGTCCCCAAATAAAATGATTTATTAAAAAAAGAGAGAAAAGAATGTAATCGATTTCACTAAAAGGTGCATGCAAAAAAATTTTAAGTGTTGCCTCTTTTATATCATAAAAATTTAAAGAGCTCTTAACACTGTATTACAATTTGAAAAACTCACAGTGGGGTTAAGAACAGAGTAAATATGGTATCTCATAAAGGAAACTGAAGGCAGTTTCTCTCCTGCTTCTGGTGAGAATCAAAACAGCCAGAGAATTCTGTTAAGTGTGATGAAAAAAAGATAATGGGTAGTAGTGATGATTGTATAGGATTGGGAGCCTGTAAAAAATGACTAAAATGGCAAGTACTGTTATGTATACTTAACCATAATTAAAAAAACAAAATACAGATATTCAGGAATATCCAAGACCTATTTCAAGAAAGTACATCTAACAGCAAAACCTCTCATTACTGCCACGAAGTTGCAGGGCAGAACTGTCTCTGTGAGTTTCCAAGACCGTAACTGTTCGTGGGACTGGAAAGCCCTATTTTTCCCCTGCAGAACAGCTGGTGGTTTTAAATTGCTGGCCTTGATCACAGCCCAACTTGTAACCACTGTGCCACCAGGGCACTATCTATCTATCTTAATTCTATCTGCATCTTTAACAATAGCCCAAGCGACCACCCTTTTTCACTTGGATTAACAAAGTATTCTCCCTGAACTGGCCTTCCTGTTTCTACTGAGGCTCTAATACTTTATATCAACATAGGAGCCACTATGATCAGATCATGTTCTTGTCTTTTTAATACTTTTATTGGGGGCTCTTACATCTCTTATCACAACCCATACCTTCCTCCAATGTGTCAAGCACATTTGCCGCCATCATCATTTTCAAAGCATTTTCTTCCCACTTGAGCCCGATTTCAGCTCCCCATTTCTTCCCCCTGTACTTGTCTATTATCTCTTTCTGACATTATTACCTACCTCCTTCCATTAGCTGACTTTTCCCTAGCTTCCTGATCTACTTGATATTTCTTTAAATTTGCAAGTATCCACCCCCGCACCCTCAACTTGGAATCTCTGCCAGCAAAGATCTCTCCTAAGATATTAACATGGCTCATACAAGTGGGTACCCCGCCCCAAAAAGAAATTTTTTCAGTTATGTATTTAAATTTTTTTTTTACAAAACAACCTTATCACTTTCAAAGCACTCTCTATTACATTTGTCAAATCTGAGATTCCATTCTTGGAAACATTTTTCAAACTCATCTGTTTGGATGGCTGACAAAGAGCACCTCCCTTGTTTTTTTCCTTCACCTCTTCTATGTCATCAAATTGCTGCTTTTGCATGTCCCTCTGCATTTGCAGAAAGAAAAAGAGGTTGCATAGAGTAAAGTCAGGTGAGTAAAGGCGCATGGGGCAAGAGAGGCATGCTGTTTTTTGCCCCCAAAACTGGCACATTGAGATGGCTGCATAAGCAGGTGCGTTCTGGTGGCTACAAAACCAGTCCCCAATCTGCTACAAATCAGGCCTTTTATGTCACACACTGTCATGTTTTCAGAACCTCTAAATATAAAGTTTGATTAACAGTCTGACCTGGTGGAACGAACTCCAAATGCACTATTCCCTTCACATTTAAAAAACCAAATGAGCATCATCTTGGTCTTTGATTTCACTTGCCCAGCTTTTCTTGGGTGAGGTGAAGATGCGTCTTCCACTGGCTTGACTGATGTTTGGTTTCAAGGTCCTAAGCATAGCACCATGGCTCATCACCAGTAATGACCTTGGAAAATCGGTCTGGGTTGCTCGGAGCTGCTCTTTCAAAGCACAGGATGTTTCCACTTGACCCTCTTTTTCCTGGTCAGTCAGAACCTGAGGCACAAATTTTGCCACTATCCTCCTCATTCCCCAATCTGTTAAAATTAGCTGAACAGAGCTCCAAGATATGAGTCCAGATAACTTCCCCATCTCTTCAATGGCCTGTCGTTGTCATCATTGGTCTTTGAGCACAAGTGCACGAATTTTTGTTTGTTGGGGAAGCTGATGGATGTCTAGAACGAGGTTTGTCATCGAGAAAAACACTCATACACTCGAGCTTTCTCATAGCACTGTCTTTGCAAGCTATGTTCAACATCACAACAGTTTCTTTGGCATTTTTCCTGAGCAGGATACAAAATTTCACAGCTGTATGCTGTTCTCTTAAATTGGTCATCACAAAAATTGAGGTTCAAGTGAAACTGCTTTTACAAAAAAATTCACTGTAACCAGAGAGAACTTTCCCAGGAGACACAACTGGATGCACTAACTCAGAGCGAGTTGTTCGATGCTCGCGTGAATGGGAAAAATGCATACTATGAAAGCTCCACTCTGCCCAGAGCAATTCCATTTTTTTTTGATACCCCCTTGTATACTTCATTCTGACATCTATACCAACTTTTGATACCACTTTATAAAATGGAAGCCCATTATTCTACTTACTTTGTGTGCAGAGAACTTATGGTCACCTGTTACCTTATCTATGTTTTCCACATTAAGAACATTTTCAAAAGTAAAAATAAATGGAGAAATGGCAATAAATGTACAAATGTGCTTGACACAATGGATGTATATGTATGGATTGTGATAAGAGTTGTACAAGCCCCCAATAAAATGATAAAAAATAAATGGAAAATAAGCCTCTATTCTTACTACCTAGATTATCTAAAAAATCTCTTTTTAAATTTAATTAATTTATTTATTTTAATCATTTTTATTAGGGGCTCATACAACTCTTATCACAATCCATACATACATCAATTGTGTAAAGCGCATTTGTACATTCATTGCCCTCATCATTCTCAAAACATTTCCTCTCCACTTAAACCCCTGGCATTAGGTCCTCATTTTCCCCCTCCCTCCCCGCTCCCCTCTCCCTCATGAGCCCTTGATAATTTATAAATTATTTTGTCATATCTTGCCGTCTGACGTCTCCCTTCACCCACTTTTCTGTTGTCTGTCCCCCAGGGAGGAGGTCACACATAGTTCCTTGTAATGGGTTCCCTCTTTCCAACCCACTCTCCCTTTACCCTCCCCGTACCTAGATTCTATAGTAAGTATTTTGCTCTATTTCTTAACTCCTCTATCCATCCATAAGTCCTTTTTTGGTAAACATCAGTACTTTAACTCTTATATAAATCAGATTATGTTATACTTTTACTTGTTTATTTCTGAATTGCCTGTCTGCCACATACTCTGCCTGAATCAGGGCCTGGACAATTCAATAATTTTGTGTTCAACTTCCTTCAAGGATTCTGAGACAATTAAAAGTATAGGAATCACTAAACAATGTCTTTCCCCTGCAAGTACAGGAAAATCTAAACTTCCTTACCATATCTGCAAAGCACTGTATTATCTGAACCCTGCTTCCCTATTTATTTCATTTTGAGCCACACTCTTTCATTTATATTCTTTCCATTATACTTGCCTTGGTTGAATTCCTATACCATATTAATCATTTTGTCATCTTAGACCTTTACAGACAATATTTTATCTCTTATGAATTCTTTGCCTTATGCTTCTTTTAATTTGTATCCTTTTCTCTTATAACTGCAATGACTGTGAATCAACTTAATGGCAGTGTTGGTTTTTTTCTTCCCAGTGACCTAAAACAATAAAAAAATTCACTGTCTTATAGCTTTACAAGCTAGAAATCTGAGATGGACCTAAATGGGCTAACATTTTATGACATGGTGTCTGTTCTGAAGACTCACACACAACCAAAAGTGCACACAGACAGAAAACAAACTAGATTATGGGGTATTTTGAAAATTAAATATTTATGTGCATCAAAAGACCTCGCCCAAAAGGGAACCTAAATTTTTTTTGTTGGGGGGAGGAAAATTGATATGTATCTGACAAGGGATTAGTCTCTAAAATTTAGAGAAAACTTCAACATCTCAACAACAAAAAGACAAATAATCCAATTTAAAATTGGCAGACGACACGAATAGACACTTGACCAAAGAAGACATTCAGGCAGCCAACAAACACAAAAAGAAATGCCTGCAACTGTGAGCCATTTGACTGTTGTAAATCAAAACAAAGTGATCTATCGCATCCCAGCAATAAGAGCAAAGCTCAATAAGACAGAAGAAAACAACTGCTGGTGATGGTGTGTGAATTGGGAACTCTTATGCACTGCTGGTGGGACTATAAAGTGGTACAACCACTTTGGAAAACAATATGGCACTTCCTTAAAAGGATGGAAATAGAAATATCGTATGATCAGCAAGCAGTCCCACTTCTGGGTATACCAGGTATCTTCAAAAAGTTCATGGAAAAATTCTATTGTCTATTAATTCCACTTTTCCGTGGACCTTTTTAAAGCCCCCTTGTATATTCTAAAAGGAGTTCTGGTGGTCCTGGGCTGCTAACCTTCATGTCAGCAATATGAAACCAAGGGAAGAAGATGAGGCTTTCTGCTCTTGTAAAGATTTACAGCCTCGACCTCTCAAAGGGGGCAGGTCTACTCTGTCCTAGAGGGGAGATGAAGACCGTTCGTGAAATGAGAAGGATATATGAGACAAGGTTGTACTAATGTCTCGGAAGTGCTAACTTTTCAGAGGCAAACTTGGTTACCACCAAAAATTCACCATTGCTCACCTGGGCACCAGGCTTTTGCTTCCTCTCTCCTAACCATCCAGGGCTCTTTCCTTTGCTCCAATAATGAGATCACAGCTGGCTTATAACCAGTGAGTCCTGCTCAAGGGAACAGGGGAAAAAAAGAAAGAAAGAAATGGGTTATGATGTGAGTGTTCCAAAACTAAATAAAACATGTCCATGAGTAGCCAAGAAAGAGGAGCAAATAGATTACGGGTCAGAGTAAGGGGTAAAGGTTAGAAACAGGGTGACCCATTTTCAACTCCAAAAGGGACAACTCATTGATTTGAAAAGTGTTTATAAGAAATTCACAGCAAAGAATACAAACATTCCAAAAGGCCCATTCTCGATTTGTGGGGTACAAAAAAACCTACCAAGTAAGACCAGGTTGTTGTAAGCCTCCAACATTATATCTCGATACAAATCTTTCTGTGTGGATTCCAAGCATTCCCACTCCTTTTCAGAAAAGTAAATGGCCACATCTTTGAACTTCAGGTCCTGAAATCACACATAAATACACTATTTGTGGAAGCAAAGTACAAAACCATCTTTAATATGAGACAAAATAAATGGAGAGAGCAATGCAGAAGAGGAACGTTATTAGCAAACTATGCAGGTTCTTTTAAGAGATAGGTTCAGGTGTGGAAACCAGAGCCAAATGTATCATAGTTTTTGAATATTCCTGCTCCTATAGATGTAGCCTCTGGCACAAGGTAGAAAATTACCCTTATTTGCCCAGGTCTAAGAATAAAAAAGTCTAGATAATTGGTACATACAAGTGCATAGCACAACATAGGCCCAGTACCCAAGAATTCTCAACACTTGTGATTGCCTTCTTCCTATTTATCCATTAGAGGATTCGAGAAGAAGTCAGTAATAAAACTTTAGTAAATACACGGTTAATCTAAGCCAACATTCAATATTTAAAATGACGAAAATGTCTTGTGGGTTAGAAAAGGGATGATGAAAGAAAATACACGACCTGCTTGACCAGTGAGAATACGCTAGTTGTTCGTTATTAGCTAGCAAAAGCATAAAGATATCCTTTAGTTTTCAGTTACTGGTAAATCAAGAAATCAAGATTGCAAAAATATTTAAGATAGCCAACAAAAATAGTTGATAACTTTCAAACAGAAAGGAAAATTACATGATAATGAAATATAGAAAAGGTAGAACAGAAAGCACAAATAAGGTAAGAACGGTATTTTCAATTATATCAGTTATTACAAGTATTGTAAATGAACTAAATCTTCCTGTTAAAAGAGAAAGATGTCAAAATCTAAAGTCCAGCTAAGTGCTGGACATATCTAAAACATAAGAATTCTGAAAGATTGGGAGTAAAGTGATGAAGAAAGATAACTTGTGCACACAGCTAGTGAATAATACGGTATGTAATATGCAAAAGATCCACACATAAATATAAAAAAGGGAATTACAACAATAAACAAATCAAACCTCTTTAGTGAGCAATTTTAACCCATCAGTATAAATAACTGAAAGGTTGCAAGAGACATTAAGTTAGAAAAATAGATTGTATTTAAATAGAAAAATAAAAACTTGATTTACTATGGGGGACAATGCACCCAATTCTAAAATGCAAACTTTCTTCTTGGCCTCAGATGGGTAATTTCTAAAAACCGGTCACAATGAGTCTTTGCTCAAGATAAAAATATCTGTGTTTAAATGCACATGAATAAAAAGATGCACATTAGCAAACTTTTTCTATAAAAGGCTGCATAATAAATAGCTTAAATTTTGTGGGATATGCATATCTCTGTCACAACTCTGCAACTCCGCAGGCAAGAGTCGCAGATCGCATGTACATGAACAAATGTGGCTACGGCCTAGTAAAATGTTACTCACAGGCACTGACATTGGAATTTCATACCACTTCCACATGCTATCAGCTATTCTTCTTCGTCTTTTCCTCAACCACGTACAAAAGGTAAAGGCTGTGGTCAGTTTGGGCCTAAAAGTAACAGACCTTGACTAGCAGATCAAAGCAGTTCAGTGCATTGCAACACCAATGTTCCTTGCAACATTAGTCACAATGCCCCAAAGGTGAAAACAATCTAAAGATGAACGGATACAGAAAATGTGAAATGTAACATACAACGGACTGTTAACCATCAAGAGAAATGAAACCCTGCTACATGCCACAACATGGTCATTGAAAACATACTGAATGAAGTCAGTTAGTCACAGAAGAACAAACATTATACAGTCTCACTTGTATGTAATATGAATATATACAGATACCAAAGGAGCCTTGGTAGCACAATGGTTAAGTGCTTGGCAGATCATCAAAAAGCTAGAGATTTGAGCCTATGCAGCAGTTTTGTGGGAGAAAAGACCTGGTGATTTGCTCCCATAAAGACTACAAACAAGGAAACCCAGTGGGGCAGTTCTACTTTCTCATACAGGGTTGCCTGGGTCTGAATGGGCTTGGTACACAACAGCAAAGACAGCAAGGCTTACCTGTGGCTACCAGGGGTGAAAGTGAGGAAGAAGGGGAGAGTTGACTAAGTGTTATGATGCTATAAAAAGGGCAAGGTGGGAAATCCCTATCCTCATCAATTCCCTCCGGAATTCGATCCAAGTTTGACCTTGCCAGATCTCTAAGATCCTCATTGCCAGCCACTTCTGTGACATTTCCTTTCTCAACCTAACCACACAAAGTTAGGTCAGTCAAATCCAGGATAAGTTCTAGGCTTAGGATGCTGTACAACACCCAGTACTACAGACTAGCCAGCTCACCTCTCTCTTCCTAGTCCCTGGGGCTCGGCCACAAACTAGGCAAAATTCTGGTTTTCATGGACTACTTTCCATCACCCACATTCCCAGGACAAGGACTTCACTAATCAACCGCTTGTGTAGCCTGCTTCTGACCACCAACTACCCAGAATCCCATTGCTCCCTGTGGGCTCATTAATGCTCTATAATGGCTCAACAAAAGGAGTTCCGGTATTGTAGTGGGTTACACATTGGCCTCCTTCCTACTCCTTGGGAGAAAGATAAGGCCTAAAGCCCCTGTAGACTTACGACCTCAGAAACTCACAGGAGCAGTTCTACTATGTCTCAAAGGGTCATTGGGGCGGAATCAATTCCACGGCAGTGAGGTTTCCCCCCGTTTTTCCTGATACTACCTTATACTTTAATTATAATCAGAAAGACTACGAGTGAAGAGGTGTACCAGGAAAGGTCTGGGAGAGCTCCTGGAATAGGGCTTCCATTATCCCTAAGAATGTGCCATATCCTCCCATTCATGGATGTTATCCCCAAACCCAGGGAACCCTGAATGAGGAAAGTCCTAGGTTCAGGGATTCCAAGTCATAGGGACCTCATGCCTATGTGTGACTGAGGCCTAATGCATAGTTACTATCATCCAATCAATAATTGACTATATCATGCCCCCTTCCCTTCCTGAAGTATGTTGGCTAGATGTGGGTCCTATGTAGCCCCTACTTGTCCAACTTTTTGAGAAAAAAAGAGTATCTCAACTCTGGGCTACTCCAAGGGCTGTTTTCAGAAACCACCAAGGCTAGGTCAAGTTTTTTGTCCTACATAAATGTCTTAGTTAGTCATGTTGGGCCCATGGGTAGATTATGTTGAGAAGACAAAGTATGGGGGTGGCCAGACGAGAGATCAAACATGTGATCCCATGTATAGAGCTTACAGCAACACAGTATCAATCAGCCTGACCTCCAGGGAGAGGAGGACATGTAACCTAGCATCATGAATGATCTAAATTTGTTCATTCTTCTGGCTCGGTGGTATAGTCAATATTCTTTGCCAACAATAAAATTTCAAGGCATCAATTCTTTTTCCAACTTTTACATGCATATACAAAGGGACACATAAGAAGGAGCCTTCAAAAAGAAAGTTCCATTTTTTCCATGAACTTTCTGAAACCTCCTCATAAAGGAACTCATTTTACCACAAGGCTAAGATTAAATCAGCCATACAGATGTAAAGACGTTCCAATAAAACTCTGGACACCAAGGCTCAGGTGAACTTCTCTGGTTGACAATATTCTGCCATATCAATGTGCCAGGACACAGAAGCATGCTGATTCTGCAGGGAAAGGATAACAGGAAGCTTCGTGTTTGGGATTCTCCCAGATCTTTCCCGAGCTCTTCCTTTGGCTGAGACAGGATGAAATAAAGGAAATCTGTCCAACTCCTGGAATTCAACAGGCAGGAAATGGGACAATGGCACAACTTAACTGTGAGTATCTAATGACTTACAAGAAAAAGGATGATCCTGGGAGTAGTTCAGAGACTGGCGGGACTGAGCACAGAGGATGGGGCCACGACTTCTTAATTCTCAAAGAATAACACTCCCAATTTTGGGGGTCTGGAGAATGGGATCAATACACAAGTTCAATGCCCTAAGTTGAAGGAAAGAAGCTGGTGATCTGTTGGCCAAGGAGAATGGGGGCCACTCAGTACCAAGTGTGAGGTCATTGCTCCAATAGTAAGGGAGAATAAGAGCATGGCCTAAAATCAAGGGAACAAGGCTAATGTCCCAGTGGACCTATAAAACAGGGCTAATATTCAGGTCTACAAGAGAAGGGTAGTGTGCCACCCAGAATCCAGAAAGCAGGGCCTTTATCCACAGTCATTGCCCAGATGTGCCCAGAGGATAAAGAATCATTTTCAAGCCTTGAAATCTAACAAAATTTGTCCTGTAGACTTTCAGGCTTGCCTGGTACCCCTTGTGTGGGATTTATAATTAATGCTGACCAAAGAATTTGGTCTTCTTTTGTCTTTGGTTACTAAGAAGTAACCTTTAAACACTGTAATTTTTACAATGATTGAAGTATCTTTAATAATTAACTCCAAACCTTACTTAGATAGAGGTTAGTGAGACTAGAGAAAAACAAAAACACAAAAACAAAAGAACATGAGTCCTACCTTAGGGGAGGCCAGTGCAGGTTGGATTCAATCATGTCTATATCAAGAGACCATACTATAAAATCTCTGGATACCAAATTCATGGCATGTCCTGCCTGGTGAGAGACACCTGTGCATGTGGGAGAACAGTGCTTCCTCTGGGACACTGGGATGCCTCCCAACCTCAATCTATGCATTTCTTCATTTATATTCTTTTTTGCTATAATAAAATGATAATGATAAGCCTGGTGCTGTCCCAAGTTCTGCGAGTCATTCTAGTGAGTTACAACCATGAGAGTAATGGGAGCCAGCAGGTCAGCCATGAAGGTGCTCCTGGAAACCTCAAGCTTCCAGCTGACATCTAGCATCTGGGTCACATAGGCAGGATGCAGGACTGCGCCCTCTACCTGTGAGAACTGCCCTAGTCCCAGGTCGTCAGCATCAGAAGAACGGTCAGAAATGGAATTGGAACAGAGAACGGAATCAACTGAACTTGATTGTACTGACATCTTAATTTTATCACGACTCTGCTCTTTCCAATTTCCTCCTCTTGGAATGGAAATGTCTGTCTTATTATGCGTGTTTCACCATTGTGCTTTGAGT